CACACACACACACACACACACACACACACACACACACACACACACACACACACACACACACACACACACACACACACACACTATATAGAGAGACAGATTTACAACTGTGGCTAAGGAAGCCCAGATTACCCAGAGAGAACAGATGAGCACAGGGACAATATGCTCCACACAGAAAGGCTCCTCCTGGTGGGTTTGAACCCAGGATCATCTTGGTGTGAAACCACCCTATAAGGGTGATTGTTAATTAGATTTTTCAGTGAGATTCAATCTTAAAAGGGTACTGGGTGGGTGGTGGTATTTACAGTTTTTTTTAATACAAATAAAGTGTTTAGACTCCGTCTTAAGGACACAGAAACAAGTAGGAGTTTTTACCAATTCACTGAACAGAAAGGAAGAAGGCAAAAATTGCCCAGTCACTACAGAACAGAAAACTGATGTTAGAGGTATTCTCAATTTAACTGACAGGCCTTTTTTTTTTTTTTTTTTTATAAAATAATCTATATTAGTAACAACAAATGACTTGTGCAAATCAAAAACCTGGAGAGTCTTTCTAATGTCAGCAGAATTCAAAAGGCTTCAAGAATTACTGAGTGTTTACATAAGGCCATGGAAGAAAAAGTAAGTCACATATTAAAGCAGAGAAGGTTTCTCTATTCCTCTTCGCTTTCCCGTCAGGTCCAGCAGTTGGTGTTTAGTTGAAAAAACAAAAAAAAACAAAAAAACTGCTCAGTCATATTCTAGATGCGCATCCAAAGTTACTGCATTCTCCTGCAGATGAAAAAGTCTGTATGATTAATTATACAGAGGAAAAAATAGAGTTCATAACAGCCGAGGCCCGTCTGTAAAAAACATAATCACAGTCAATGCAAAAATGAAATCACTTACCCATCCTCCATTGCTTTTCAGCCATGGGGCGAAGTTCTCCATGTAGCACTCTGCATAGCCTTGCATCCGCTGAGTTCCCGTGGCTGTCACTATTCGCCGTGATACTTCCATGCTGACAGCCATCCGTTGCAGTGTAGGACTGGCTGTTGGTTGCTGAGAAAGAGTTTCAGCTACATGACTGCTGCTCACAGCATCCAGGAGTTTGGAAAATGATGCATATGAAAGACGGGTCAAACTGGAGCGAAGAAAACGGTCCGATTGGATCTGTTAAATGATGTACATTTGCTTTGAGTGCGCACGCAAACACATGAGGAAAATTTACACCGTCTTCAGCTTTATGTTTACCTGAATTGATTAATTTATTGTAATTATTATTATTATTATTATTATTATTATTATTCCCAAAACATTTGACAAATGAATAAAGGACCTTTACAGACAGTATAATGAACCACTACTTACCACAGTATTGATAGAATCTCCTTCCGAAGAGAGCACCTTGACAAGTTCCTGCACTATTGTTTCTTTATCACATACTGCTGAGAAAGAAACATCAGCTTTACTGAAGATGAAGATATTATAGTTCTTGATCAGTTTTTCTAACTTCACATAATGTACTGCATGTATTTCTGATCTATCAATTTTTTTTAATCAATCACTAGTTGCTCAAGTGTTTTTCCGGTGTCATCAGTCACCTTCAACCAATTCAGTAAGGTTTCTTTAGCTGAGCTGAGACAGTCCAGAGTCCCAAAGCCTTAGAAATGGCTTTGTAACCTATTCTGATGTCTGTGAAGGTTCTCAGTCATCCAGGTCATCGTAGTCAAAGGAGCTTGCAAAGAAAAGCATCTGGACTTCTTCAAGTTGCTTGAAGACGTTTCACCTCTCATCTAAGAAGCTTCTTCAGTTCTAAAGTCAAATGGCGGAGAGTCCCAGATTTAAACCCAGTGGGAGTATCCCCTCAAAGAGGGACAAAAGGACCCCTGATGATCCTCTAATCGCCTGAGCCAAGGTGTGAAAACGGGTGTGGGTCCCAATCAGCCAGGGTTTTCGGGTGAGCTCACTGTGAAACCTGGCCCCACCTTATCATGCGATTTCCTGAGGTCAGATGGCCCAGGATGTGAGTGGGCGTTAAGGCGTCTGGGGAGGGAGCTCAAAACTGGATTATAGATATACAGTACCTATTCTGATGTTAGTGACCTGAACCAAGGTCAAGTCATTTGTTCTTGAGTTTCTTTTTATTGTGGAATGATGTGCTGGTTTTATCTTATCAGGTTCTATTTCAGGTCTGGCAGTGATGAGTAAGTTCTGGGTGTGGCTAGTGAAATTAAACTCCCCATTTCCAAAAACGTGGTTAATCACAGTTAATTCATGAGTTGACAAGAGGGGAGGTTTCAAATAGTGCCAAGGAGATTTGGGCAGCTTTTTCCCCATAAATGAAATAATAAATGAATGACTATATTTTATATTTATTTTTTGGACACAATTATATGCAAAAAACCAAAATCAGGCAAGGGGCAAATACTTTTTCATGTAACATTTCACATGAGCCCCTTCTATGATGTTTCCTGTGTTACAGCATAGGTAACTAATTTGATACACTCAGTCCTAGTCTCCAAGTTATAATTAATACCTAACAATACGCCTAACCTTGGAAAATATTGCTGCATATTTTAAGGATGCTGTAGTCCAGGTCAAATAAATAAATAAAATATAAATACTTAAACAAACAAAACTTGGAGACCCACATCTTTGCTTCTGAGTCTAGACTCAAAACCCGCCTTTGTCCCTGTTAATATGTTAATATTCCCTTGCTAACAAACTAATGTCTCATTTGCTGCATGTCTAACTCATGCATCCCCTCCTGTCCTCTGGTGGTTGTTGTCATTTTTAACGTTTTGATGCATCTGGGGTGGTAGCAAAGTAAAACACAAAGAAGGTGCTCTGCACTATTGAAGAACATGAAAAATTTATGTTCATTTTGTGGTTAGTTGCTACCCTATAGGACCTTGTAAGTGTGAAAACACGGTAAATCTGCTTTATAAATACATTTTACTTACATTTATTAGTTACTTTACTGTTCTGTGAATTCTAGTTCGGGTCAATATACCATTTTAAAGTGAATTAATGTATATGCGTGGCTGTGCATGCAATTACCGGTTGGTGGCTGTGTTTTGGGACTATTTCTCTTTATACTGGTAGACTTCTGGGCAATCTTTTCCAGCTTCTCTGCCACATTACTGTAGAACTCAGGAGGGTGATCTGTATGGACAAATGTATATGAAATATCCATGAACAATAAAAAGACTTTTGCCACTCAAATGCAGTCAAGTGTTTAATTTGAGTTATTGCAGGAGAACTATGTTCACTAGTATCTTCCAAGAAAGCAATGGCTGACTCTGGTTTATTAACCACTGTCTTCCTCCTCAGTGTGAGTGCTGCCTTTGACACTATAGCTCATTGCAGCATTCTCCTTCTCAGGCTAGCTTCTATTCGACTCACTGAGATAGCCTTCAAAATAATTTAAATCTTATCTCTCCCACCTCACTCAGTTCATTCAACTAAAAAAATAAAATAAAATAAAAAAATGTCAATCTCATCCATTTTTAGTTGCCATTTAAGTCCCCCATGATCTTAAATATTAATATCAAAATAAAAGTTGTACCATAGAAGTTACCTCCTTTGAGTGCAAGAACCTTATGTAGATTATCTTTATCAACAAGATCATCAAATAAAATTCTTTAGCAAAAAGTGAGAAGAGGTTCCTGAGTAAAAGTCAGATGAAAAGGTGCTGTAATGGAAAAAAATTCCTTGCCCTACTAAATTAAATGGTCAGGAAGTATTGCTGACATCAATCGGCATGAATAGTTCACCACACAACAGGTGAAAATTACATTTAGATGAATCCATTTATGCAATTTTTATACATCTTTAATATTACAAATGTACACAAGACGAGCGAATTTTGTGTGTCCAGGTGATTAAATACGACTGATATTTCTTCTTTTGGAAAATGTAACAGTCAGAGAGCTTACTGGGAGAGATGACATTTGGTGTAGGCTCCGGTTTTTTGTTAATTGGTAATGTGTCAGGTCGCTGCGGATGAGACGGACGCTCCTGTTTGTCCTTATCCTTCTGTAACCTTAAACTGAAGATCTTGGAGAGCTTCTGTTTGATGTTTTTTTGGCTGAGCTTTTTCTTTAGTTTCTTTTCACTTTCATCCTCTTCTGATGTACAGGAGGTGTCATCCTGTGGAAACAGTTGAAGTATTTAAACTATTAAATTTTAGTTAAGTACTGATAATTATGATGAGAAAAAAAAAAAAAAAAAAGAACCAGTCTCAGGGAGACACTGAAGTGAAAATTATAAATTTTTCCCATTTAGTACTCTTTTCTAGCCTCCATGGTCTTAATGTATCATAGTACTAATGTATAACAATACCATGTAGACACTACACTACAGGTTTGTGTCCAACATCACTCATGGTCTTTCATGTGTTCCAGCTCAAAACAATACAACACACTTACTTCGCTTTTGTCTTTGAGGTGTGCAGGTTTTGCTTTGCTCTTCCTGCCCAATGAGCCTTCAGGGTCTTTGGCAGGACGTTGTGTGCTGTTACGATGTGGCAGTTGCTTTATGAGGTCTTTGAATCCAGTCTTTTTTTCATCTCCTGAAGTGACAACCTGAGGATTCCGCTCATCCTTTGTTTTGGGTTTTGGGTTGGAACTAGCATGGGAAAACAAGACAATTCATTAAAAATAAATGGTCACATAAATAATATTGCAAATATTCAATTACTATATTTAAAATAATTACTTACTTAAACCTTTAGATTGATTAAAATGTAGTAAGTCCTAAAACTATCTACCCTTTAATCATTGCTACTCACTGGTAAAGGTCACAAACGGCACAAGTCAGTGAGCTATTATCCAGAATGTTGTGTCTTGAGCTACAATTTTTAAAAAAAAGATACAAATACAAAGACAAACAAGCAAAAAATAGAATAGTAGTGAGTTATATTACCTGTACTTGTGGTGATCGTTGTAGGCCCCTCCTACCCTCCCAGGCCTCTCTTTCAGAGGAATTAAAAGGGAGCGATGTAGAAAAGCTTGGAGCACTAAATGAGTCTCACTCTTAATCTCAATCAAAGAGATGGAGGACACAGATGAGCGGCGTCCTTCAGAGTCTGACATCACTACAGTTTACAGAAGAAAAAAAAAAACTTAAGTCATGTTATAAAATCCTCAAAAAATAAGCTACAATAGAGTGAAAAAGTGTTTGACCCCCTAATTTCCTCTTTTTATGCATGTTTGTCACACTTAAATGTTTCATCAAACAAATTTAAATATTAGAAAAAGATGATACAAGTAAACATAAAATGCAGTTTCTAAATGAAGGTGTTTATTATTAACCCTTTAAGACCTACCATAGAACCAAGTCCGCCAGAGCTTATAGTATATTTTTACATGCTGTAGTGCCATTTTTGGGAGCATTTCAAGTTGCTATACATCAATACAACAATTATAGCCCAGATTTTAATAATATGTATTCATTAAGTGCATAGTAATTACATAAATTGCAAAACCATGCAATAAACTACAAAAAAATTGAAAATCGTTTTTGCTTTTTTAACATATATTTCTAGTTAGAGAAATTTAAGAGGCTTATCCCTCAAAACTGTAAATACAAAAAAGTTGCACAAAATAGTTTCCTACCACAGGAAATTTATTTTGAGTGTCTTCATAGTTTTATTTTTGAATACACCAATTTTTATATACTGCAGGAAAAACGAAAATAAATATTATACTACAAATTTGCAAAAAAGCAGTATATGCATCAAAATAAACAATTTCCAGCAGTGCAATATGAGTCCTAAGCATCCCAGAAACGACACAGAAAGTCATAAAGTCAAAGATAACTTTTAAAAACACCAGTATAGACCCTGAGGCCCTGACTACATTTCCGCGGATCGGCAAAGCGTGTTTCTGTAATATTATGTTTTTGTTGCTGCAAGTGCTTTTTATGCAGTTTTTGCAAAGCTTTATGTGGAAGGAAACCGTGACCTAGGACAAGCTGATGGCATAAGATGTAAGTACAACTCCTCCGGTTTCATATGCAAAAAAAATTATTGCGCTAGCTTACGTGGTTGCAGAGCTACCGGGATTTAAAAATAGTTACGCAAAACAAAGCGTGCCCGCTCCGACCGGCTCTAAAGGGTTAAGGGAAAAAAAAATCCAAACCTACATGGCCCTGTGTGAAATAGTTCAATTCAACTGCATTTATACAGCACCAAATCACAACAACAGTCGCCTCAAGGTAGGGGTGGGCGGTATAAACGGTAAATGATAGAAACGATATAAATTTGACCAACGGTAGAGATTTTTACTATACCGCTCTACCGCAATAGCACATGTTGATGGTGTCATCATCAAGCTGCACCTGTTTTGGTCGAAAGCATTGCAGCAGCTGCAAACAACATCATCTGCAAATTATGCTGGGCAACAGTAATAGCAAAGAGATGAAGCACTTTTGGAATATGAGGAAAGCCAAAAACTGTGCTTCCTCCACTTCCCTATCATTGATTCACTAATGCCGAATTCTCTTGCAGCCGCTCTATTCCCATGTTGTTGCAGTATATTAATGACCAACCTCGTATTGTGGATGGATTATCTCAGTAGTTTTCCTGACTGAAGTTTAGTCCGTTTATAGCATCCTGTTATGCAATTGCATTTGTCCCTAACCACCAGAAACCCTCACGTTAACTTTTATTGAGTGGAAAAAAGTTAGCGTTCATCCTTCAGCTTCACTGTGCTAATGTTAAGCCAATGTAGCTGTTTTGCTAGCAATCACTTAGGACAGGGGTGTCGAACTCCTGGCCTCGAGGGCCGGTGTCCCGCAGGTTTTAGATATCACCCTGTTTCAACACACCTGAATCAAATTATTAGTTCATTAACAGGCTTCTGGAGAACTTCAAGACATGTTGGTGATAATTTAGCCATTTAAACCAGCTGTGTTGGATCAAGGACACATCTAAAACATGCAGGGCCCTCGAGGCCTGGAGTTCGACACCTGTGACTTAGGACATCACTATATACCAGCTAGTCCAACTTCAGTAACCCTACAAACGTCACTGCTGTTTAGTTTTCTGTCTTCATTTATGTTGGAAGTGATAGCAGAGCTGTACGTTTTAATTTTTTCAGATATCTCTCAGTCAGAACATGGCACATCATGTTTAGGTGGAAACTAGCTAGCTAACTTCTAACTCCGTTGAATTGAATAAATTCTGTTTTCATGGATGCCTGGATGTTAAACTTAATTGTTGCACCTGGTAAAGCAGCAACGCTGATCATTTTATTAAAGATGAAAGAATTTAGACAGTTTTTAACTCTCAGTGATGCTGCAGTGTTCGTTTGACTTTGGGACCTGAAGCAGATGGAGTTTTGGACCCAGATTACTCCGTGAGGCTCCTGACTACGGTAACCGTAATGCTCCGACAAACATTTTTGACAGATTTTTGAGAGCCGTGTACCACATAAAATCTGTTTGAGGTCAGTAAGCAACCCCGGAACCAGGCACACTGTCGATTTTTGAGAGAATTAAAGGATTTTAAGTGTGCCTTAGTGTGTAGAATACGTTATACAAAAGAAAATAATATATCGCGATATATATATCGTTACCGCACATGCTTCAAATTATACCGTGATATGGATTTTAGGCCATATCGCCCAGCCCTACCTCAAGGCACTTTATATTCTAAGGTAGACCCTACAATAATACATTGATGGAATTTCAATCTTTTAATTATCTTATGCACTGTTGAAGTTAAACTATCCAAATCTCTTTCTATCTTTATTTGAGGAACATAAATTTTTTTGAAAATTATTGAAATATGTAAAGACAATTTTTAATTTTTGTACCAAATCATAATTACAATCACCTGTTGACATCACGTGTTTCAAATCACGTCATTATTTAACAAATTCACCTGATTGCTAGCACTACATTGCTCCTATCCCAACCTTTTACGGAATATGTTGCAGGTCTGAATGACAGCAAAGCGTGTCTATTTACAAATGAAATAAAGTTGACCAGACAAAACATGAAATATTTTGTGTTCATATTGTCTGCAATGACATATAAGTCAAATTTAGAAATCACTCCTTTCTTTCTTTATTTTATTTTTTTGCATTTTCCATACTGTCCCAACTTTTTCTGATTTGGGTTTCTAAGATGGGGCCTGATTATTTACGACCTTGTATGTGAGGAGCAGGATTTTGAATTCTGGATTTAACAGGGAGCCAATAAAGGGAAGCCAATACAGGTAAAATCTGCTCTCCCTTTCTAGTCCCTGTCAGGACTCTTGCTGCAGCATTTTGGATTAACTGAACGGAGTTTTTAGGACATCCTGATAATAATGAATTACATTAGTGCAGCCTGGAAGTAATAAATGCATGAACTAGTTTTTCAGCATCACTCTGAGACAGGATATTTCTCATTTTAGAGATGTTGTGCAAATGGAAGAAAGCAGTCTTACATATTTGTTTAATATGTGCATTGAAGGACATGTCCTGGTCAAAAATGACTCCAGTGTTACTGGAGGCCAAGGTAATGCCATCCAGAGTAAGAATCTGGTTAGATACCATATTTCTAAGATTTTCAGGGCAGAGTACAACAACCTCAGTTTTATCTGAATTAAGAAGCAGAAAGTTAGAGGCCATCCAGGTCTTTATGTCTTTAAGACAGTCCAGCAGTTTAAATCAAATGACTGGATAATGTCCTGCATTAGGAAATTCTGATATTTTAATCTTTAAATCTCCTTTCCTTTGCTCCAAGATGCAAAAATGTAATAATAATACAACTAAAACAAACCTTAAATACTAATCTGTATGTTTAAAATACACAGTGACTTTCAAATGTCCTCCATTACTGAGGAAAATTTTGCAGACCAACAAAGCCAGTCTGCCATTTTTCATATCCTCCCTGGTGAACTTGATCTATCCACAGAGTTGATCAGCAAACTGTTTATTGTGGCTGATTTTCGTCTAGTTATCATGGAACTGACTTCATGATCCAATGATTGCAACTAGCACTTACAATCGACTGTCATTATGCATGGGGTTTTTTGTTTTTTTTTTGCTTTACTTTAATTTCTGGTGCTATGAGAGTGTTTAGTTCATCAACTTGGGTCAGACCAACACAAACTGAACCAGACTAAACATACTTCACTGCACTGTATGTATGTGTGCTGCACAAATTCTCTCTGGAATTAGTAACGTTTCTCTGATTCTGACGTATTGCGAAGTTATCCCCCAGTGCTTTTCCTTATTTGATGGTAGTATAAAGAGCTGTTCCTTATAATATGTATACTCATGTACTTTCTTATGCTAGTAACTCAGTTTTTTTGTTTTTTTCCCTAAGGAACAAATTTGCTCAACATAAGAGACAAAAATGACATGGAAAAACCCCATGGAGCTATAGAATTGACTGCTTATTTACATGTTTCAATTAAAGAATTTTTTTCTAGATAATATTCAAGTGACGTTCGATTGTGTACACGTTCTTCTACGTTCCGCCCAATCGATTCTTTTGCGAACTCTCTTGTGTTGTTAACAGGTTCGAAACAGCTTGAAAGAGAAACAGAAACAAACAAGTGATTCTAATAGTTCCATTCCATTCATTCCTTACACCACCTAACAAAACACCGCCTTACACACTTTTTATAACCCCCCCTCCAAAAAAACAAAATTTACGACGACCCTCATCTATGAGATACCTCTGCCAAGGTACTCTTTAATATCGTTTAAAAACTTTAGCTCAATTCATTTTAATCAAAGAATACGTGAATTAAGAACAGTAATCGCCCGACCGACCAGGGACAGAACTTTTCCACGGTATTGATGACTCGAGTTCAAAGAATATTTCACTAACTTTTACGAAAGATAAATACATGCTAGACTGAGACAAACTTATATATACAATAAAAACTTTGTACCTCGAGGTGTGTCTCGACGTGTCGAAGTAGACCCGAATTGAGGTTTAGAGTGTTTTTGCCGTTTTCTTGCGCAGCTACATTGAACTCCGTGGTAATCGTCTTCTTCTGCCGCTTCCACGTCTCCTCCTTCTTCTTCTTCTTCTTCTTCAGCTTCTTCTGTATAGGGTTTACTGGCGGTTGGCAAACAGCAAAATAGCTATTACCGCCACCAACTGGTGTGGAGTGTGGACCGAAATGACAAAAAAATTAAAAATTAAAAAAAAAAAAAAAATTCAAAGCCTCTCGAACAAATGGGCCTGCCTTAAAAACCAAAATACAGCCCGATAACTTTCACTTACAGAGGTCGTGCGAAACAAAACAATCAAGTCCAACTGCACTTCCATATCGTCCAGCTTTTTGATCAGTTGTCTGCATTCAATATCATACCTCTGACAACTCAAGAAAACATGTTCTATTGTTTCCTGTTCCCTACTGCAGTCACACTCCCCTGTACAGTGTTTACCTATTAAAAACAATGTGGTATTTAAACCAGTGTGTCCAAATCTCAGTCGAGATATAATCGTCTCCTCTCTCCTGTTTCGGCCTGTACTTCTCATTTCCCCCACCTTCCTTTGGATTTTATAAAACCATCGCCCTTTCCTCTCTTCCTCCCATTGCTTCTGCCAACCTTTCAATCATTTTGTATCGTATTCTACTCTTGAGCTCCGTCCTACTCACACTAATAACCATATCTACTATCGGTCTCCTTGTTGCGACTTTTGCTGTCCTATCTGCCATTTCATTTCCTTTATCTCCATGATGCGCTGGTACCCATAAGAATGTGACCATAAGCCCCATCATAACAATTCTGAACAATGTTTGCTGGATCTCTATCAGAATGCCAGGTCTGCATTCTAAGTGACTGTCTTGCAGACTGGCCAGTGAAGAGTTCGAGTCTGAACATATCACAGATCTTAGTGGTTTTGTTTCTTCAATCCACTGGACTGCTAACAATATTGAAACCATTTCACCTGTGTACACTGATAAATCATCACTGATCCTTTTGATTCCACTTCTTCTTCAACTACTACTAGTTTAAATGCGGTAGGCACACCCAACTTACAGGTGCATTACTGCCACCACCATTAATCCCGTTGTTCAAACATAATCAAATTAAAGATTGCCTACTTTCCGTGTACTAACAGATTCCACAGTTTAATGCTTTGTTTGCTGTTCTTAAATAAAGTCACTAATCTTCTCCTCTCTTCCTCATATTCATTGTGGTGGATTATTGGGTATTAATGCAGTGTTCCAAAATGAAAACCATAGAGTCAAGGTCAAGGTCAAGGTCAGATTTATTTATATAGCACATTTCCAACAGCCGATGCTGCACAAAGTGCTTAACAATAACAATAAAATTAAAAACTACAGTGTAATACAATAATAACAATAGAAACAATAAAATAGAAGAATTGAAACAATACTAACTAATTCAGATAAATCCAAGTCACACAGCTGTGCTGCAAAGTGACCATAGACAAGGTGGGTTAACCATTTTTAATGTAAAATATGAACGTAAACCCCACCATGACATGTTTTTGTTGTTTCTCTGGATAATTTTTTTTTCAACATTTTGGTAAATGGACTGGTACTTATAAAGTGCTTTTCTACTTTATCTTAAGCACGCAAAGGGCTTTAGACAATTCACCCATTCACAACAGCAGTTTTTTCTACTGTTTCTAAATGCTTCCTAATTAACATCCACACACATTTGGAGATGATCAACATGTTAGGGTTAGTATCTTGCCCAAGGATACTCACCACCACCTGAGCTACAGCCGTCCACATGGCTTATAATAATTTATTATCACATAGTCTTTCAGCCCAATTTCTAACAACATATTCTTGCTCATTTGCACTCCCCTATTCTATATGAGTATTGTATATGGGATGCCTTGCTTAAGAAGCATGGCACAGCCTCCTCCTTCTCCTTCTTCTCTGTCCCTGTAAACTGTTGCATAGTTAAATAGAACGAATTCCGAATTAGATTTAACCCAGGATGCCTGGATATGGATTATCTTGGACTTTTCTTTCATATCTCAAATAAATTGCTTGAATTTCTGGCTCTTAGCATTGAAACTTCTGGCATTCCATTGGAGAATGAGCGTAGTTAATAGTATTACAGTATCTGATACATATTGCTTCTCGGCTTGACTGAATCTTAAGTTTGTCATTTATTTCCTCCCATTTTAAATCTGTCATCCTGAAGTGGTGGTCCGCAGCGTTCACTATTATTTATATTCTTTCAGTTTTATTCAATATGTTGCATTTATCACTAGTTTTATTTAATTTTTTTGTAAATTTAATTCTAATTTTCTGTACTTTTGTCTCTCTTTTCACTGCTTTGCAACCCCACAATGCTATATTGTGGCTTCCTCTGTGGCTGCAGGATTCTGGAGGAACTCCTGCTGCACACTTGCCACTTCTATTGTCCCCTCCACAATGAGCTCACCTGTGATTCCTTTTACATACATCTGTCTGAATTCTTAAGAGCTAAAACATTTAATGGGCTTTGGTGCAAATTCTCTGCACATATATGTAGTTTTGTCATATCAAAATTATAGCTCCTGCTCCTCAAAGCATAGCTGCAGTCCCTTTTTTTTATATGTTCTCCCAAGCATTTTCTTCATTTACTTCACTTGTTTCTCACTTGTAGATTTTCCACCAGTTACTCTCTTTTTACATTTTTTAACCTTCTTTACCCCCATTTCAGATTTACTGCCTATTAGTAAATTTCCACAACTCAGAATGTGCATTTTTACGTCTCCCAATTGTCCTCTGATAATTCCAGTTAATTTTGTTGGGTCCATCTTTTCACATACCCCTCTTTCTCAGATCTCACCACCACAGTAAGTTAGCTGTGTACCACTCCTCTTCCTTTGCTTTCTGATTCAACACTCAACACCATTCTTCCTCCTCTTCCTTCCTCTGTCCACACTGTTGCTGTCACTGTCAGTTTTCCTCTGTTTCTTTCTATCACTTGTTGCAGACAACACTGCTTGAGCACCATTGTTGTACAGAGCCTTTCTAGACTGTCACCAGCTGCTCCAGGACAACTAGTCCTGCCTATGAGTCCACAAGAGAAGATGTTGATATTAGTGTTTGATTTTCCCACACTCACCACCAATTTCATTCTCCTCTCCACCAGATACACCAGTAACTGTCTCCTGACATGACATTTTCCTCCCTCTTTTTATTACTCAAATTTGTCTAAATCAGTCTATGTATCTGTGACTGCTTGTAAAAGCTATTTTTTGAGTTCAATCTGTGTGTTTCTGTTTTCTTGCTGCAGAATGAGGAAGTCGATGTCTTCCACTTATTGGAAGGTTTCTGATTTGCTTCCTGCTCCAGTCTGTATGTTGAGGTGGTCTCATGTGGTACAGGAGTGTATGAGTATATGTTCAATGAAGCAAGTGTGACTGTCTGTGTGTATAAGAACATGGTTTTGAAGTAAGTACTTTATGAACCTGCAGTCAGCTGAGACTGAAGAAGTCTCTTTGATGAGCGAAGAAACATTTCTCCCACTGAAAACGCTAATCCAGGTGAACAGAATGCTTTTTTGGCAGTTTATGGTGAGTAATATTACAAAAGAGTTCGTTAAATCTATTTGCCATACCAGCCATGACGATGTTCTATATAAGCTAAAGAGATTACTATGGGGATTGTAAGGTAATATGCCATGGGCTCACATCTTTCAATATTACTCTACTTCAGTAGGTTACTCACAGTATGGACTGCACTCATTTTTAATCTCAGTGTACATTTCGATCTCCACAATACTATTCACACAGTTTTTTGAATTTAGCTTGCACTAGTGCGGTTCTTCACATGCTATTTGTACATGACTTCACTAGATGTCTGTATTTGACTTTTCTGGTGTGAGCTGCAGCAAAGCTGCAAAGATTTTGCCTTGAGGTTTTATGGATCCACACACTGCTACACTGCAGTACCAAAATTGGCAACAGAAAAATAAGAGTTTGGCTTTCTCATAACTCTTCTGTGACAAAAGTAAACACAAGTGCTTGAAACGTTTAGGATGCACACTAAATTTGGGAAAAGGTGTGGGATTGTAGTCTGACCTGACTCTAATTCTAGATTCATGATATTCATCATCTAATCTTCTGAACATAATACAATTTAGGACACAAAACAGTAAAGATCCTCTCCAGATGTGACATGATATTGCTGGAAAAATGTGATGTCATGCACTATCATACACGAGTTAATCTGAAGAGCATTCGCATCAGAATGTGGTGACGTGTTTGCTTATGGAGCTACCTTTGATCAAATGTGATCATCCCCACAGAATAAAAATATTTTCGTTTGATGAGTCTTTTATTTGTTGTTGTTGTGATTCTTAATGTCATATAAATATCATTTATTTCTTAGGAAACACTTCAGTCTTTCCACATCCTTAGACAGATTTTTCCTTTTTTTAAAATTGTAAATCTTTTTTTTAATGTTTTTTGATATCAAATGAATATACACATTTGAAGCTGTGGTGGAAAGGTCAACAAACATACTTCTATTCATCATGGATAATCTCTCTGTGCCACTGGACAGGCAGTGGAGAACTTTCTCTAACTGGGTTAGGGTTGACGTTACACCAAATCTTTCATACCCCGTGAAACAAGTCATTATGATACAGTATAGTTATATCTCCCACATATATTATCTTCTGAGGGCAAGAGACACAACCACTATTTCTAAGCAGTTTTCTCAGAGTGCCACACAACGCCTTGGATTGAACATTGTCTGTATACGTGAAGATTTGTGCTATTTATTTGTGATATGTGTGTTGCTCCCACTTGACCAAGTAAGCATACAACAATACAAAGATCATGACAGAAAAATGTTTGCGCCAAGATTGGCATCTATTTTATTTAGGAAGGTACTTATCACGATGACGGAATTCTAATGAAAAAACAACATCAAAATGAGAATTATACTAGTTATGAAAACACAGGCAATAGGAATGATGAACAGTCTTTAGCACAGCCCCCCCAAAACCCGTCCAGCGTCACTGGTGTCAAGACACTGGTACAAGGATTGGGAGTGACCAGACCAAGAACGCATGCAGGACTTCAGGAGATTGTAATGGTGA